GACGACTGAGGGGTGACATGATCGAGGTTTATAAGATTATGCATGGGAAAGAGCAGGTAGAGAAAGAGGTACTTTTCTCCCTTTCTCACGATACAAGAACTCGCGGGCACTCCATGAAACTGCAGAGCGGTTGGGTTAGAACGGATAAAAGGAAGTACTTCTTCACCCAAAGAGTAATTAACACATGGAATTCACTGCCACAGGAAGTGGTGGCGGCTACAAGCATGGACGGCTTCAAAAGGGAATTAGATAAGCATCTGGAGCAGAGGTCCATCAGTGGCTATTAGCCACAAGGTATAGCTAGGGGCTCTGGGGCAAGTGATGCTCTGTCTTCTTGGTGCTTTGGGGGGGCCAACAGTGGGAGGGCTTCTAATGTCCTGGCCCCACTGCTGGACCTCCTGATGGCACTGGTATTTCTGGCCTCTGTGTGACAGAGTGTTGGACTAGATGGGCCTTTGGCCTGATCCAACATTGCCGTCTCTTATGTTCTTATGGTATTGCACCAGGCCGATCTAAGGCTGTAAAAAGGGCTGCTCGGAAGGGGGCCCACCAGTGAGGAAAAGCCTTAATAGGAAACAGTTTCGAACCAGTACACCACAGCTGGCTCTCAATAGAACGAGAGGTCTAAAACGCAATCTGATAGGAGTCGGAATGGCAGGAACTTGAAACGGAGCCGTCGTCAGAACAGAACATCACAATTCCACTTGACGTGACAGGACGTATGCATTATGTGGGACTACGGTCCGTAGAAATAAAGTGTGTTTTGCAGTCTATTATGATACAGACGAAGCCCTCCTGAATAGTTCCAATTTGCACCGTTTGTGGAAAGCCAGGAGGTTGGGAGCCTTCCTGACCTCGAGGTCGAGAGGGCCACAACAGGGAACATGCGTTTACAGGAGGTGGTCAGGTTGGCCCCCTTGCACGGTGGCACCTTCAGAAGACCCAGCTTGGGTGAGTAAAGCTGCTGTAAGGGGTCACAGAGGGAGAGGGGGTCCCGCAGATAAGAAGAACCCTGCCCATGAAAGGTTTTGTATGTGACAGTGAGTACCTTAAGCCCAGTAACTTATAAGCAACGAATGGCGGGAACATAGCCTGGGAGTAATACGCATGTTCCTACTAGCTCCCAGGAATGGCCGAAGTGCAGCATTCTGCACCAACTGGAGCCTACAAGTCGATATCAAGGGGATACCCATATAGAGTGCATCGCAGTAGTCTAGCCTCGAAGTTAAGAACATAAGAACATAAGAGACGCCAATGTTGGATCAGGACAAAGACACATCCAGTCCAACACTCTGTATCACACAGTGAACAGAAATACCAGTGCCATCAGGAGGTCCACCAGTGGCCTGGATCCAGGTGACCAGATAGGCTTACGTAAAGCATAAGTCTTGACATGACACATTGAGTAATGCAGAAATGCCATAGTGGGATCCTAGTTTCAGTAAGCTTCCCACAGTTGTACAGACGACAGTCGCCAATAATTTACCCCGGGGTGGCCAAACTGCAGCTCGGGAGCCACATGCGGCTTTTTCACACATATTGTGTGGCTCCTGCCAGGGCGGCTGGGGAAGCAAAGGGGTGGCATGCCTTCCCGGTCGGTCTTCCCTTCCCCAGCCACTGTTCTTTCCACCTGTCTTTCTCTTTTTCTCTCTTTCTCCCTTTCTTTCTCTCTCTTCCTCCCTCCCTGCACCATCTATTTGTTTTCTTTGGCCCCGGTCACACGTAAGGGTTTGGCCCGGGAGAGGGATGGATCAGGGACACAGCAAATGGGCACAATCTCACCGCAACGTCTGGGAAGCGGCGCGCACCCGTCCCTGAGCCGTCCCTAATGCCGGAAACCCGCTGCAAAAAAGAACCACCTACAGAGGTGGACTTACCTGAGAGGCCGCGCCAAGCGCGGCCGTGGGATCACTGGCGCGTCCTTCTGCTGGCACATCCGAGGCTCCTGGCCAAACTGCGCATGCTCACACATGCGCAGTTCGGCAGCCTCCCTCTCTGTTCCGTGGCTTCCCCCAGCATCTGATTGTGCCAGGGAGGAAAAACGTGGTGGCTCAGGGGGCTCTATGTGATCCTTCCGCCGCGTGTTTCTTTTGGTGCGGCTTTTAAACAGCCACACTTTCCCCATACTTCTCCCCCCCCCCCGTGTGGCAAGGGCCCTACCCTGTTTTCCCGAAAATAAGACCTACCCAAAAACTAAGCTTTCTATGCATTTGTGGTATAAGCCCTAGTGTGTCTTCTTGAGAAAAAATAAATATAAGACAGTGTCTTATTTTTGGGGAAACATGGTAGTTTCTCACTTTCTCTTTCCACCTCTTTCATTCTTTCTTTCCACCTCTCTCTTAGACGAATGAAGATCATTAGCAAACAAATAAATATCATTGGACAAATAAATATCGTTATCAGTATCTGTTTTTACCCCTTTTGTTTTTATTTTGGCAGTCTCATTTAATGTTAATAAAAAGCAAATCTGCATATTTCTCAATAAAAAGGGGTGTGTGATATTTGTTCATGACTTGTGGCTCTCAGACTTCTGACTTTTATTCTGTGTGGCTCCTACGTTAAGCAAGTTTGGCCGCCCCCGATTCACACCATTGGGCAGGTGGCTTCACAGCAAAAAGCCAGCACTCTAACACAACAACTAAACTCAAACTAAATTCATATAACCACAAGCATAAATGAAATATATAAAATGAATATCAAATGGAGCATGCATGTAAATACCTGTTAAGTCCTGTAACAAATTACATCTATTCGTCTTTCACTAGGACCTTTCTAGTCCTTACAGCTAACCAGCCAAATTTGGCAAGTTTAGCTGTACCTTTGGGGCACCTACTTTCTAGGAGGTTCTTCAGCAATTGCATCTTTTGACTAGTTGAGGATAGAGTAGTTGTAGAGCGTGGGAGAATATCACGAAAGTGGCTGTATGCTCTGCAGTCCTATATAACATGCATTAAGGTTTCAATTCCGTCATTGCAGCAGTGACATTGTCAAGTATCGACTAAACACCAAGGCGCACAGAACGCTGTCCCCTTCCCACTGAAGTGGTACCTATTTATCTACTTGCAATTTCTTGCTTTCCAACTGCTAGGCTGGCAGGACTGTTTTGAGGAGGGGAAGGGAAAAGGAGTTTGTAAACCACTCTGAGACACCTTTGGGTAGTGAAGGGCGGGGTATGAATCCAATCTCTTCTTCTTCTCTTCTGAGCAGGCTGAACACAGCAGGGGATCCTCTGGGAGCGCTCCCGAGCACCCCCC